GAGTGGGGGGTGGGGTTTGGCGGGATGGGAGATGGGTAGTGCAGAAAAACGAAAAAACAAAAATGTGATTACAAAAAAAAAAGTAAAAGAAAATATTTTTTTGGAGGGGGGTAGCAGGGTGGGTGGGTGTGTGGGGTTGGTGAGGGTGGGAATAGGGTGGGGAAGGTTGAGAAGGAGTTTTGTAAAATGTTTTCCCTTCTTTTGATAAGGAAAATATTTTCCTCCAATCGAAGAAAAATGAGGTCATAAGGAAAATATTTTTCAAAATATTTAAGCCAACCAAACATGTGAAAATTGAAAAGCATTTTTCGAAAAATATTTTCCTTCCTGCCAAACACACCCTAAGAGTTTAAGATTTATATATTATCAATATAAGTAATTTTTACATCATATTATATTTATCTGTTGTAGCAGCACAACTAGGTAACTATTATATTTTCAAGATTACATATTTTATATTTTATGAAAACTTACCTATAAATATTTTTTTAAATAATAAAATAAAGATGTATATAACTTAAACTCAATAATTAATTATTGTGGTTGAACAAAGGTGACACCATGCTTTACAAACCTCACCTAGCTTAGGTGGAGTACAAATGGCTCCAATACAAATTCAAAGCAATCTCTTTGTACTGTGTGTGTGTGTGTGTGAATTAAAGACCAGCAGTCCAAAGAGAGAGAGACAGCTTAAAGATTAGGAAGTAGGACCCATGCCGCCATTAATATCCCCTTCTACCAACCTTCCTCTCCTCTCCTTTCACTATATTGATTATAAACCAATGCTAAAGTTAAGTCAAATTTAGCTCTTTCCTTTCCTTTGGCATTTTTTCCCTCTCAGCTTCAAAGAAACCTCTACAACAAACAGCCATCATCTTCTTATCTTTCCTACCTCCTGACTTTTCTTGAAAAAAAAAATTTAGAGGTGGGGTGGGTGCTTCTTTTCTTGAAAAGTCTCTACTTTTAGTTTATTTTTTATTTTGCTTCTCTTAGTTTTATATTTCTTGGTTCTTGAAAAAAAAGAGTCATTTGGTGGGAGCTGTAAAAAGGGGTTTCACTTTTATATTCATATTTCAGCTTTGAGCTACTTGGATCTACTCTCTGTGTTTTTTTTTTACACGTGGTTGTGTGTTCTGTGATATACAGAGCAAGAGAAGTTTGTTGAAGAAGAAAGGAAGCTCAAAAAGGGTGTGTTTTTTTGTTTTCTAATGGGGATTTGTTTGAGTGCTAGAATTAAAGCTGAAAGCCCATTTCATACAGGTAAGAATATGTTTCAAAGGTGTGATTTTTCTACTACTTGAATGCTTGCACAATTTGCAAATTTGTTTGATTTATTTTAATTTTCATTAATTTATTAAGGATGATCATGTCTTAGTTCATATAACTGAAATACAATCAACTTCATCATCATAATAATTAATAGTTGTATAAGTTTGGATTTCACCAAATTGGCTAGTTGGAGCCGAGCGTCTATCAGAAACAGCCTCTTTGCCTTGCACAAGGTAGATGTAAGGTCTGCGTACACATTACCCTCCTCCGACGTCACCTGTGGGATTACACTGGGTTTGTTGTTGTTGTTGGAGTATTTGCTAATCTTTAACTTGTTAGTATAGAACCCCTACTATTTGGTAATAAGAGTTTTCCTAATTAGTATATATGTTGCTATCTCTGGTTTTAAGTAGCTGTTTGTGGTTTAATGAGGTTATTTGTTGCTAATTTTTGATGGATAGTGGCATTTAAAGCAAGTTATCTAATATATTAAGATAATTATTAACAGGGTTAAATTCAAGATCTGTTAGCACAGATGGATGTGATAGCAATCCAAGCTCGAGGGTCTCAACCATGCCACCGGCTCCCAGAAGTGAAGGGGAGATATTGCAGTCGGCCAATTTGAAGAGCTTCAGTTTCTCTGAGCTCAAAACAGCCACTAGGAATTTTCGTCCTGATAGTGTACTGGGAGAAGGTGGATTTGGCTCGGTTTTCAAAGGGTGGATCGACGAGAACACATTTGCAGCTACCAAGCCCGGGACAGGTGTGATCATTGCTGTGAAACGGCTGAATCAAGAAGGTTTTCAAGGTCACAGGGAATGGCTGGTGAGTTTCTTATGTTCCATTTAAGTGCACTGATTATCCCATGAACTGTCGTTACTTATTGCAGCGCTTGTTTAAGTGCTAATACTTTCTTATCTGAGAGTTCCAGTAGATCGTAAAGGTTGTCCGTGTTCTAATTTTTATTGTGCCTCTATGTTTTTAGGCAGAAGTAAACTATTTGGGACAGTTTTCTCATCCTCATCTCGTAAAGTTGATCGGGTATTGCTTGGAGGATGAACACCGGCTTTTGGTTTATGAGTTCATGCCTCGGGGAAGCTTGGAAAACCATCTGTTTAGGAGTGAGTTCTTTGTCTTCGCCATTTGGAATTTCTACTCTAAACTATGATCATCGACACCGTTGGAGTAAATAAGTGTACGTTGTTCTGTAACAGGAGGTTCTTATTTCCAGCCTTTATCTTGGAACCTGCGATTGAAGGTTGCTCTTGGAGCTGCAAAGGGGCTTGCTTTTCTCCACAGTGCTGAAACAAAAGTGATATATCGAGACTTCAAGACCTCGAATATTTTGCTTGATTCTGTATGTCCGCTGCGAATCAGATCTTTGTGCAATTGCTTATTATGAACCAGCGCACTTTTGCTTACTTGGTTGTGATGTTTCTCTTATAACATTGTAGAATTACACTGCCAAGCTCTCGGACTTTGGATTGGCAAAGGATGGACCGACAGGTGATAAAAGCCACGTCTCTACAAGGGTTATGGGGACCTATGGATATGCAGCTCCTGAATACATGGCCACTGGTATGGTTTCTTTTTCATTTGACTCGTGCATTAGCTTCCTAATTTCTTGTTCCCATGTGGCCCAACTTCTACAGAGTATCAATATTAATTCGGAACGTCAGACAGATACTGATCAGGGCATCTTTGCCTTTATGATGGAACATTTCCTCTTATCCAAGATCCATTTAACATGCAGTTTTTGGTTTTTACTTTTTACGTCATGTTCCTTATGGTTCAGTTTTCTTGCTTATCCTCAAGAATCTCATTCACGTACAATGCATTTGCACTTCCGCTCCATCTCCAATTCAGGAAAAGTGCTCTTTGTTGACGAACTTTGATTTCTTGATGTTGACACTTCAATCAGTTGAATATAAGACAGAAATCAGCTTGTTGATTGACTTTACATGTTGAGTTCAAACATTATCATAAATTTCTTGTACCCGGAATTATTTAGTTGCTCATCTCCCTTCTAATTCATCGGTTTGGTGCAGGTCATTTAACTAGCAAGAGTGATGTGTATAGTTTTGGAGTTGTCCTCCTCGAAATGCTGTCCGGTCGTAGGGCAATCGACAAGAATAGACCATCTGGAGAACACAACCTGGTGGAGTGGGCGAAGCCTTACCTAGGTAACAAACGTAAGGTCTTCCGTGTTCTGGACACCCGTCTTGAAGGCCAGTATTCAATGGACGTAGCGAGTAAAGTAGCTAACCTTGCATTGCAGTGCCTATCCAAAGATCCTAGGTTTAGATCAAGCATGAGTGACATTGTTAAAGAACTAGAGCAACTTTATCAACAATCTAAAGATGCAGGTAATACTCGCAGCCACGGTAACAACCGGCCTAGACCACGTAGACGGAGTGCTGGTGATGTTGGTAATAAACATGCTTCAGTTTCTTATCCAAGACCGTCTGCTTCTCCCCTTTACGCTAAATAATTCGATAAGATGACGCCTTTTCATGTGTTTGCCTTTATGTTTTTCAAGCTTGAAAAGTAGTTGAGGCTGCTGAAGAACCTGCACATTTGCAGAATCAGCTGATTGTACAGTTGTTTTGGTTAATGTATTGAATGTGTTTGTAACATGAGGATTGCTCACAGGTCACAACATGTGTTTTTTTAACACACAGTATGGGAATGCTTAGTGCTATTGCATAGTTGGTATTGACAAATCTTTTTTCTTGAGGAAAAGTTCTTACATTTTCACAGTCAAGTTATTGTTTTATGTTTATTTCAGCTTTCTTCTTTGTTACATCCCTTTTCTAGAATGTGGCCATACGTGGGGCTAGTGGTGAATAAGGGTGTTCAAGATTTAACATACATGTATTAAAAGTAATTTTTGACTTTTATATACGAAAGTACATATTATGTATACATAGTATAATTTTTCGATGGGGAGGTACCGTGCATGGGGCATTTTATCTTTCCATCTGAAGACTTCATAAAATAGACTGACGCAGAAAATATACTCTTTCTATTCTATTTTATGTGGTATTTTTTCAATTATATCTTTTTCTTTTGTACGAACACCTTTTATTATTTGGAAGCTCTTTAATTTTATACTTCCCATTTATCTTAAATAAGTTACGTTAAATGTTATAACATATTTAAGTCTAGACATTCTAATGGTACTTTTGATATACAATTAGACCTCTCTGTAAAAATATTCTTATACAACAACCATTCACTATAAAAGCCAAGTTTTTCTTAGAATCGCTTTTTTTAAATTATATTTTACCTCTCTATAACATCTTTTTACCTGTAACAACAACAGCCATGTTTATAGCAAAACGCTCTTTGTAAAATTACCCTTCTATAACCGCCATATAAAATCTTTAAGGATACTACTAATAATTCTAAAAATATGCACACAATCTTTTTTATTGCACAAAGTTTCTATTTTGCATAGGACATAAAATTTGAAGATTTGCACATGATATCTTTTCCATTAGACAAATTCCAAAAAATATTTAGATAGAAGATTTAACTCTTAAGCTTTTAGATCGTCTTTATGTGAAGGCTATTGGTTACCTCTTTGCTGAAATTGGATACGAATCTTCGCCAATTCAAGTGTTATATCGTTAGTAAGAGAGTGAAATCTACGAAACAAGCTACAATTACAAAGTTCTTCCATTAATCTTGAAAGGATTTATTTTTCTAAGTAGCTCTAAATGTGTGCCTTAGAGTTTAAATCTTTATCGTTTGGTTATGAATTTATTAATAATATATTAGCTTTCTTCAATATTTAGGCTAGGAGGTAGTTGAGTCTTGCGTTACCTTGTACTGTTGTGAGCCTAGTTTGGTAGGGTTTTTGTCTGAGATAGCTAGGGGCATTGTCGTGTCTTACTATTTTCTCTTTTCGGTGCATGACCTATTTACTAGCCATCATTTTTGTTTTTGTTTTGCATTTTTCCTTCTGCATTTTATGTTCCTATTTTTCCTATGATCTCTGTGGTGAAACTAACATTCCCCCCTTTTTGTTTTCTTCTTATCTTGAGCCGAGGGTCTTCCGGAAACAGTCTCCCTACTCCTTCGGGGTAGGGGGAATGTCTGCGTACTTACTACCCTCCCCAGACCCCACTTGTGGGATTTTACTGGGTTGTTGTTGTTGTTGTTTCTTCAATATTTAACTAGTGAAATACGCATATCTTTTGAGATTTTAAATTTGAATATTTTTTTTTTTACTTTTTACATGTAATATTAGAAAAGAAAAAATAATTGATATTTGGATCATTTTTATTTAAAACGGCTAAAAATATTTGAACGTCAAATGCTGTTATAGATGTATAACATCCATTCACTATAAAATACAAAAAATATCGGAACAAAGGAAGCTGTTATAGAGAGGGTTGACTGTACAACAAAAGTTATTTTTTTTGTTTTTAAATTTCATTTCCAGTTCAATACCATCATATAAAATTAAATAGAGGGAATATGAGCAAATCTATCACTTTTACCTTGTGGCGCAATTCTCATGCGTAGCATTTTACTAGCTCTTTACTAGCCAACTAAAAGAATGACTCTTTATAAAGCGAAGAGGAGTTTGTTTTTGATAGTTAGCACCCGCGCAATATGCAGTATGTTCAAATTAAATTTGGCAAATAATAATTGAGTTTGTTTGAGCACATTAGATCATATTATTTTAATAAAATTTCAATTGTTATGTCACACCCCAACGTTGGGAGGTGTGACCGGCACACGATGCCCGAAAGCCCGTGCAAACCGACGCCCATACTTAAACATCCCAACATGAAAACTCGGTCCGCCAGGCCTCCAAGTATAGTAGTAAGATAGAATATTCACAACTAACATGCGGAAGAAACTTCAACTTTGAACACATGTATTCAACTGTTGCCAACGGAGTCATACAAGTATTTATTTACACACTAAATACTAGTCTGCAAGCTTCTAAGGGGTCGTTTGATAGGGTGCATTAGATAAGCTAATGCATGCATTAGCTTTGTGTATTAATAATACATTGTTTGGTAGGGTGCATTAGCTTTGTGTATTAATAATACATTGTTTGGTATACATTTTGAACCCATGCATTACTTATGCAAGCATTAGTTATACATCCTATTTGGTATTATCCTATGCATAACTAATGCATAAAAAACAATGGTATTAGCAATGCAATGTGTTTTAATGCATGCATTAGCTTAGTTAAAGACAAAATTGTCCTTCAAAATTTATGTTTGATTAAAATATGCTAGTTAGTATATTAATACAAGTTCAAAATAATTCAAATAATGAGAAATAAAATTATATCCCTAGTAAATAAATAAATTCTTAGCATATTTTCTTTTTTTATAAATAAATATTTAATTTTATTTTACAATATAGGTAGACAAATGAAATATTTTTTTTAAACCTTTTCATATAAAAATATTTCTCAACATATGTTTCTTTTAAAAAGCTAGAGTGTGGACTAGTTTTGAGGGCATTTTTGTAAACAAACAATTCTTTTAGAAATTGTGCAATGTTTTAATACATCAAACCAAACAATGGATAAGAAATATGTTAGCATAACTAATACCAGCATAACTAATGCAAGCATAACTAATACCAGCATAACTAATGCAAGCATAACTAATACCAGCATTACTAATACACCCTATTCAGCATTATTCTTATGCACCCTACCAAACGACCCTAAGAGTACCATAATATACAACTTGGTTGCGACAGGTCCTCACTATACCCAAAATGATAGAGGCATATACTTCAGTACCTATCGACTTCTGTACAACTACCCCAGAGAAGTGGAGTATGATAACTAACAGCTAAGACGGGCACCTTACTGAGGATGGACGTCACTGAGTCTATCTGTACATGTGGGCATGAACACATCGCCTATAAGAAAGGGGCGTCACTAGAAAAGATGTACCGAGTATGTAAGACGGATAATATATGTAAACCAAAGGCATAACATAAGAGATATAAATACACACTCTGATACCAAGTTTGTCACTTCCCAACCTTGGGAGTTACGACCGACACACGATGCCCGAAGGCCCGTGCGAACCAATGCCCATACTTAGACCTCCCAACATGCAATCTAGGCCTACCAGACCTCCAAGCATAGTAGTAAGATAGAATATTCACAACTGACAGGCGGACAAAACTTCAACTTTAAATACATATATTCAACTATTGCCAACAGAGTCATACAAGTATTTATTTACACACTGACACGAGTCTGCAAGCCTCTAAGACTACCATAATATACAACTTGGTGGGGATAGTTCCTCACCATACCCAAAATGATAGAGACATATACTCAAATACCTATTGACTTCTATACAGCTACTATGAAAAAGTGGAGTGTGATAACCAACAGCTGAGACGGGCACCTTACTGAGAAGGGATGTAAACGGGTCTATCTGTACCAGTGGGCATAAACATAGTGCCAAGAAAAAAAGGTCGTCAGTACGAAAGATATACTGAGTATGTAAGACGGATAATATATGTAAACCAAAGGCATAACATAAGATATATGAATACACAAGTTTGACTTGAATACCAAAGACAAGCCACCGGAGGCGCACACAACAGTAACCATGAATCTTGAATGTATACAAACTTCATTAGGGTTAAGCCATTCATTGGGGCTATGCATTAGATATAATAATATTATTTAGCCACTCTCTAGGGCATATCATCTCAGATCGTACCCGACCTCATAGATGACTCGGTAAAGTCTCATGCTTTCATCACATTGTACTCGGCCTCAGGAGGTCTTGGTTATACCTGGCCTCAAGAAGATTCGGTTATACCCAGTGATGACGTTCAAATCCACTGCTAAAAAGTAAATGGACATGGTCGCATGCAATATAATTTATCCAACTATGAGTCGGGGTCGAATCCCACAGGAAACAATATGTAGGCGATTAGGCGTGTAAGAGAATTATCACTTATTATGCTAAGCCAAACACTTAAAAATATTTTGAAAAAATATTTTTATAACTAAATGAGATAATAAAAACTAACCTAGAAAGCAAATAAAATGATCAATGGCTATAAGCATGGATAAACGGGGAACTACACTCAAGTAACGATCCAATGTATTTCACGATTTTACAACTATGAGCGAGTTTATATTAATTAGCCTCGGGTAATAATTCTATATTAGCTTCTTTTAGCAGACTAACATGACTTACTAATTGAATTATCCCTAAAATAATTAAGAGATTAAGCACACCCGAATATGGCTACAAGTAGTTCAATCTTATCCCTAGGTAGAATCTACAAATTGTGGGTTAAAGCCTCAAGTTCTTGTTAATTAATCTTTTCCAACCCCAAATTATCTTTCCCAAAATTAATTTGAAGTAAATGGGCGAGTCTTAGGGTTAGCTAATCCCTTTGAAAATATTAAAGAACAAGAATAATTAAAGAAATAATAACTCACTTCATAATAAATAAAAATTGTTCAATACATAAGCACAACAAGATATTTAATCCACATTTTAAATATGAATATTTCCATAAACAAGATTCAAGTGTTGGAAAAAATACTACACACTTAGATATACAATACAAAGCAAGGAAATGAAGAAATGAACATAAATAGGCAAGAAATTCTCAACCAAAAGCTTCAATCCCAAGTGTGTGTGCAAGAACCCTAGCTTCCAAAACTTGTCTTCTCTAGTCTAAGGACTGAAAATAAGCCAAAGATATTTTACAAATGAGCTAGGTTGTGTATTAAATGGTTTGGGGTTAAAATCGTAAAAT